ACTGATTGACTTTGTTTGCAGATTCACTGCGTGGCCAACTGGAAGTTCAAGCCATGCAACTCAGTTCTCTGGCCCCCTGGCCGTAGTACAATAAATCAAATTGCTTGGGTCTCCTCAGAAACGAACTCAAAGTGCAAAAATTGCTCAATTACTGCCTCGCGCATCTATCGTGCGGGCCCGGCTTTCGCTGGCGCTTTGGCCAGCTGGCTAAGAGACCTATTGGCCCTTGGCCTTCTTGGCAGCTTGCGCTTCGCGAGAGATGGGAACCAGCCTCGATCGCGGATCCCTCCAAATTAGGGACTTCCTTTTCGGACGCCTCAACAAGCGCACGCGGCTCCCAGGCTTGGAAACTACATGCTCCATTGACATTGAACCAGGCCCAATCTCTGCGTTCTGCATTTCCCGGGCAAATCATAGCTCGAACAGCAATCAAATCCACCTCACGTGCATAGTTCTACAGGACCAACTGACATCTGCAGGCAAACAAAGGCACAAAGAGCCACTCGCATCCTGATCCACGAGTCTGGACGTAAAAACTTTCAATCCGTTTCCCTGAAGCCATGACGCAGGTTGCCAATTGCGGGAGTTTGGCCAACATGGGGACCATACTTAGCACGCTCGTTTGGCCCCACCGATTCGCCATCTGCATTCGCCAGTTCCTCCGGGTGCCCGCGCCACTTCCGCAGCTTATCCTCGATCTCCTGCAGGCTTGGCTTTGTCTCCTGCCGAGCCGTCAGCTCACAATGGCCGAATGGGAAAACAGAAGTGTTCCCAAGCGCCGACCAGCCACTCATCACAACAGATTGGGTGAAGACGTGTGTCTCATCCAGCTGTTGTTTGTGAAGACCAACCCCTGTTGCCAGGCGCTTGGGTGCAAAGACAAATTCTGCAAAGAAGGGAACGTGACAGCCACTCTACTCAAAACTGATTCCGCAAGGAACTTCAGCCGGCTCACCCAAAAAGCTCAGGACTTGGCCTTGGCAAAAGCTACAACCAGAAAGTTGCTTCATTGCACAACACGAGCTGCATCCGTCCTCAGAACCCAGGTGGACATAGTACGGCGCCAGCTTATTCAGCCTTGGGGCAGTCTTACAAGCAATCGCATATATTCTACCAACATCCTGGGCAACCACTGAAATTCTCAGCTTGACCACATTGCGTTCTTCAGGAATGCTCCCCATGTTTCTCATTGCGAGCGACTCGTTCGGGAAGCGCAACGATCGATCAAGGCAAGCACCCGTATCAGCTAAAGAAAGTGTCGGAGCTTGGCGCCGACAAGGGGTGAACCAGCACTCTTTCAGCTGGCAAGTTGAGTTTTTCCGTCTGAAGGAAGGCCACAGGCGTTCACGCAAATGCAGCTGCCACATATTGTGATGGTTTCATGGGAGCAGGCACCCATGACAACGGCAAAACAATTGCTCTGCATTCTGCGCCGAGATGCTGCTTGGTCATAGTGTATACACCCACCTGTGCAGAAGGCGGGGAAGGGGGGAAATACTTGCAGAAGGCAAACTCAAGATTCACTGCGGAAGGGAATGTGCACTATTCAGGGTCTCTGCCCACAATTTGGACCTAGTGGAAATCCTGCGCTTTGGCCCCAAATCACAAAATGTATGGGAACATTCACGGAGAAAAACAATGTGATTGGGTGCGTAAACTGGAGATTTCATGCTGTTCCTTCCAAAGGCCGCAAACAAAAACTGGAGGTTCCAGCCCCCAACCAGAAATCCAAGCCTCAATGGCAAAAAGCCACCAGCCCACCGGCAGCGGCAAACAAGCTTGCTGAACGTCTGTGACACCTGCCCTTCCAGGGCCCTATGCACTGGCCGGCCTCGAAAAAATCCACTCCGCGGAAGGTCAGGGCCCCGCCAGAGATATGCTTGTCCTACGCTTGAGCGAGGGGTGCAAGGGGCGGCTGGAGACAGAGGGGGCGAAGGAGTCTCAAGATGGTCTCCCGCACCGGTCTCAAATGGGTTCATGTACACACCTATTGCCTATCACACAAAGGAATCCGTCAATCCATACCTGGAACAGGACTGAGGATTGTTCACTGCTCCCTTGCACTGTTGTCTTCCGTGGCTGGGGTTTGAAGCTGCTGTTAATCGAGTTGGCCAGATGTCTATCTGTCCAAGCTGCTATGGCTCACTGGTACATAAGGCAGTCTGTAGGCCCAAATTCACAGGGTTGGCAACTGAGGTGCCGTATTTGGGCGACAAAGGAAAGGAGGGCGAGGCAAAACACAAACAAACTACAACTTGTTCCATGCAGTTGTCGCCCTCCAGCGTGCGCTCCGCAGTGAATGAGGGAATGCCCCACACGGGATATCCCCTATGGTCTCCTTTCAGGGAATCCCTAGGTTCATTCCCAAATTCCCTACCTATCGCACCAGCATGCGAAAAACGGTCGCTCCAATGGCTCCTGGTTTTGCAGGAAGTATTCTGGCAGCTCGGACCAGTGAAGCCGAGCCTAACCGCAAACCCGCAATCTGCATGCGAACCCTGCTACTCCTTCAAACACATTCAGGAATAAAATTCAGGCTGACTCGATGTTCCACATTTCAAGAAGGGCTGGACACTGCACTTTGACCATATGAACCAAGCGTATCTCAGCATGAATTCTGCATCAGCCCTTGCTGCCATCGGCTCTCCGAAAGACTGGGGATTTCTTGGTATGCGGCATTGATGTGGTGGATAGCGTGGTACCCGTCGTTGAAGGTCCGCTTGTTGGCCCCATTGTCCTGGGCAGAATGGATCATCCAGTGTATAGTTACTCGCGCCTCTCTCGGAGGAAGCTACATGCGAACAGCGGATAAACCAACTGCGTCCCGATGACTTCTTGAGAGGTCAAAAGTGCATTAAATCATCCGAGGCACGCTCGACAGGTTGTAGGCTCTGATCAAAAGCTGAACGTGTGACCACATTCCCAAGATCAATGCGCAAAGTACTCCATAATATATGTGGGTATGTATATATATATATATACATTTACATTTACCTTCAGAGCGCTACAAAATTCCCTGCGACAGCCGCGTCTCATGTGAAGGAGTCATGTGATATAGTCTAGAGGGATTCAATTGGAGTGCAACTTTAGCTTGGCTACCCTCCGAGGAGCAGATCCGCTACAGTTGTGGTGTGATCACGTCAATGCGCAGCGCCTGCCCTACCGAGGTTTCGGCCAGGCAGTTGTAGGTGAGGCCAAAGTTGCTCATTGAGTCCTGCCGAAAGCGGAAGCCCCACGAGCCCAAAGAGGTGCTACGAATGCGCCCCCAAATTGCATACAGCAGTCGAAAGGGGACATCTATTCTTGCGTTGCTTTCCAAGCCAACACATACATACCCCATGGATAACAAATCACAATGCCTCTTGCGAAAATGGATCACCACAGGGACCTTTATTGGGCCGTCTCTGCTAGCCCCATCAGAAGGCTGCCTTTGGCTGCACAGTTCGGATTCACCATGATTCACGTCATTTGGGCGTCTTTTTCAGGGGACCCCTCAAAATGCTGGTTTTTCTTTTGGTTTGCTCAGACAGAAAGGGGGGTTGCCTAAAACGACCATTTTACAACATTCCTGGAAGGCCGCCCAGAACTATGCAGGGCATGTTGCCCATACATATACACTCAACGAACAGGATGCGCTGAACAGATCTCAAGTCTAGTCAAGAGACAACAATTGCAGAACAAAGATCAATGCTACTAAACGTAGAACAATATGAAACAAGCTTGGCAGCGGAAGGTGATCGTCGTATATGCGTGGCTCTGGCTGACAGCACGCTAGTGCAAACCTGCATTTTGTATTCACAGCTCAATGCAAAGCCTCCCCCCTACCCGCCTCGGGATTGACGAAGATGTGCTGAGACCAGTTGCCAAACGCTAGCGCTGACATCGCAATGACCTCAGGCCGCACGGAAATCACGCTGAAAGAAAGCTATGACTATTCACATGCAACCGCTCCTGGTTGAAAAAACAAAGTTCTTCAATTCAGTTCAGCCTTTTTACAAGTACCTTTGGCACCTTTGTTTATGCCATACACACTTCATGTATGTGTATGTATATATATATATATGTATATATATATATACATACGTATATATATATAGGTATGTGAACGCGTTCATATGTAAGCAAATGTTCAGTAGTTGGGTTACGAGATGGTGCTTGCGGGACTTGAGACGTCACGAATGAGTGTGATTTTCAGCCTGACTATCCCAGGGGAAGCATGATCAAACCATTGACTTCTAGGCGAACTGTTGCCATACTCTCACCCACCCGTCTCCGCAAATGGGGTGAAGATACTGCAGAACCAACACTGATTTGGCTGCTGCATCCTGTTGCACATCTTTCAAAAGAGGATCAGTTCATGTCGAGCGTCACGTCCAGCAGAATTCGCAGTGTGTTTCCCAGATCGTTGGCTGAAGGCCCTCTTTTCTTCTTGGCTCATCCAGGGAGAGGTGGCGCACTTCAATCACATCCCACTAAGAAACAATCCTGGAAACCACAAAACACTTTACAAGGAGGACTCATAAGAATGCCAGTGATACACCCGGCCAGCATCAGCGCTTGTTTCAGACCCATCTCGCCCCTTGCGATGCAATCGCCCTGCTACCCACCCAGAGACTCCTGCCGGTCTCGGACGGGCTCCCAGGCATATGGGATCATGAAGGCGTAGAGCGTTGCCTTAGGCTCCAGGGCCCAAGGCCGGCACCGAAAGGCATGAAGACTCCCTGTTGGAAAGCCACTACAAAGGGGAGAATCCTTGTGGAACCCAAGGTAAGGAATCAGGATTGCCTTTGAGCTGAACGAACTGGAGCTGCCAGCTGATTCTGCAGGAGCTGGTTACTTTTCTTTCGGCAATGCAAACACACAAGGGCATGAGACCTGGAAGCAGAACACTTGAAGACATGACCATGGCATGAGATCATACGCGCCATGTTCAGACATCAGCCTTTCATGGGCAGCCGACTTGTGTATGGATCTAGGGCGTAGCAAGCATATCTGTCGGCAACGTTCTTGAACAGTTATCAGTGCGTGCGTGACTGCAGTTGGTCAAACACATGAATACAAGAAAACTCAAAGGGCAACAAGGTCACAGTGGGGCCCTTGTGGACCGGCGGCCTCGTTGATCCTGCTTGCGCTTCCTGCATGAAGTCATGCTGCATGTTCAATCGCAGGCAGCCCCACTCTTCCAAGCAGGCACGACAGAGCAATAGCCAGTATGCAAATAACTCGACTGTGGACATAGCTTGAACAGAGGCTAGAGCAAACTGCCTGCCGTTGGTGAGAGAGAGAGAGAGAGACAGAGACAAAGAGACAGAGAGAGAGAGAGAGAGAGAGAGACAGAGAGAGAGAGACAGAGACAGACAGAGAGAGACAGAGAGAGAGAAAAAGAGACAGAGAGAGGAGAGAGAGAGAGAGAGAAAGAACAAGAGAGAGAGAGAGAAAGAGAGAGAGAGAGAGAGAGAACTTCCACTACCCTTTTAAAAGGTGCTGCAGAGAACGCCAAGCTGCGGTGAAGTTGACATACCTGGCACTGGCACGTTCTTGGAATAACTCCCTTGCTTTGCCCAAAGCTAGTGATGTAAACAAGCCTTCCACTGCTTCGCTCGTCGAAAGGCTAGTGACCAGCTCTCGTGTGCCAAGGACAAGCACCTCTCAGGCGCACGTGGCCAGCACATAGAGGAAGCAAATCTCAGCGAGCAAAGAAAAGGGCCCTCCGCAGCAGATTTGCTGGACCGGCAATTAAAAAGCATCCTCCATGTACCCAAAACAGAAGCTCTCCAGGTTTTGCCGTGAATCTAGGGCATATTCATAATTGAATGTCCGGCTTCTTTGCACGACCTCTTTTGTAGCCTGTGCGGCCAAAGCTGAATGAATCCGCTATTCCCAGCACCGCCCAAAACAAGAATGATCATGGGGCAGTGTTGCAACCTCCGAACTCCAAACGCCAGCTGTTCCACGAGCAATCGAAGCGTCGAAGCGCATCCCCCCAAAAAAGACACGAGCCAAACTGAACCAAGCCCTCCGAGTCACAAACCTCAAACCACCTCTGGGGTCGCCGACATAGCCGCCCAGGCCCACAATCAAAGTCTTGGCCATCTCCCAGCGCCTCGAATCGTGAGCAACGAGCGAGAGAAGAACGGTTCATGAGACGAGCTCGAAAGGAACAGGGCTCAACCTCAAAACCAGCCATCTTGCGCTGGCGCAACAAAAAAGCAAAACACAGGCCCAGGGCCCATCCTGATTGGATTTTAGGAGACAAGCTGAGCTGAGGAGTTGAAGAAAGAGGCAGAACGCCTTCCAACAATCGGACGGTCGTTGCCACGAGGCCCATCTGCGCTAAGGATGCGACTTCGATTGAAGGCAGTAGAGCGGCAGCTCGATCCACACCCCAAAGACAAACCGCGCCCAGTACCTGTGCCAAAAAGATGAAACGGTCTTCAGTGAAGTACTCGAACTCTTGGCGGCAAGCACTTCCTGCTTCACTACTTGCATGTTGTAACATATTCCTTGCAACATACTTCGAATTTCAGACACATATCGATCCCACAATGCCCTCCAACAGCACCGCGGTCAACAGCAACAGCACGCCACAACTGTTGTCAACTGCCCCAGCTCCCTGGCAAAACTCGTGGTCGCACCCTCCAGCAGCAAACTGCGAAAAAGACTCTGCAAGAGCACGCTCAACCTACACTACCCTGCACAGCTCTCGGTCACACTCTCCCGCATCCTGCAACAGTCTACACCAGTACTTCCAACAAACAACACCTTTGCAACCCTTCAACAGCTCCCCTCACCAGCATCCTTCAACAGCACGGTAAACTCTTGGTCACACCCTCCAAAAGCATCCACAACACCATCTTCAGCACCATACGCCGTGCGCAGGCCAAAACTGTGTTTCACCCTCACATATTCTCTTGAAGCTAGACGTCATCCTCACAGTGTGACTTTGTTTTGCACCGGCCTGAAGAAGTGAGCCCAGGAGTCTCGCTGGAACTGCTCAGTTGAAGACGCGTCTAGCTCCTTGGTGTTGGCTGACGATGCTGGTGGCTGACGGCTGGCAATTCGAATGGATAATGAAACACAAATGGAATCTCGAAGATTAGCGACTCCGATCAAAAAGAAACCTGGCATAGTTCCCCCAATCACTGGGCAGGCGCGAGACTGTGCAATCATCCACTCTCACTTCGCAACCTGAACTGCTGTCTAAGCGCGTGGTTGTTCTCGATGTGGTGCATGATCACCTCAATTCAGCCCTCTGTGGCCGTGCAAAGCTGCAACCAAAGAGCTGCGTCCGTCCGTAGAACTACACCTTTCCAGCCACGCGCCGCCTGCTTTCGCCAACATCAAAAGTCACTCAGGCGGAGGCGTGGTGGATCTTGTAAACGCCCATGGGTACCCCGAAGAAGGGCGCGTAAAGCCAGACCTGCCCAATTCAAATGCTGCAGCCACAACTTCAGGGCAACATGGCACCCCGGAAAATGGAACCAACAACTCAAAAATGCGTCGCCCTAGCTCTTTGATTCTGAGCCACGCCCAAATCAAGCCACTCTGCAGCATCAACCCTTTTTGGAGCATCCCAAGTGCCTAGCAGGAATAGTCGCACAAACAGCAAGTGATAAACTGCATATTACGACATATGGGAACATCGGAGCGGCGAAACACCGTGAACGTGCCAATGACCGAAACAAGATTATATTCAGATGTAAGAAAAGCCAAACAGGAAAGCCAGGAGCAATGTGAGCCACAGACACCAGGCAAAGCAATACAGGTATGACGCCACGCAGCGAAGCATTGTACGACCATCTGACAAACAGTTGTCATGAGCTGGGCCTTGAATTGTCTACAGGCATCAGTGCCCTGCCAAGTAGTAAGTACACAGCCAGCCAGAAAGTGTTGGATGCTGAACAAAAAACCATAAAGAAACCACACAGCCGTGGGTAAGGACATAATGAGTAGAAAAACAGCAGACACATGACAAGTTCTGCCATTTTCGTTGGCAGCCAGCCAGTGCTGCAGCATTTGACCATGCACCTGTTTCAATGCTTGCAGTGCTGCCAAATGTGTTTGTGTGTTTGACTCGCTTTGAGAACTTTCTTCAATTTTAGATTTTGCTGATGAAGTTAAATACTTGAGCCCGAAGATTAATAGTTGTTGAATGTTGGCTCGTTTACTATTGGCAAAGTGTTTTTCACGTGTAACTTTTCACATAACGTACTCATTTCATCGGAATGATGCATTTGTATTAATTCCATCATGCATTCTTTCATGTAGGTTCATTTAGTGTTTCTGACAGTGGAGATGTTACACTGCAAAGTGGTGTGTCAGAAGTTGGTTCTACCGGTAGTGTATCCATTACTACTGGTGATGCTGAAGCCCAATCCGGTGATACTGTTTTGAATGTTGGATCAAGTTTGCAATCCAGTGCAGGAAATATGTCTTAATCAGCTGGCGGTTCCATGCTTTTTTGTGCTGCTGGCGGTGATCTCGATATTTCTTGCGTGTCGATTTCCCTTTTGCACCTCATGCTAAACTAGCGTCGGCAGCAACTGAGGCCAAGGCTTGCAGAGCGTTCAATGTGTCGTTTTGGAAGATGGTGCGGTGGGAAGAAAAATGCATCATCCTTAGTGTCATCAAAGTGCTGAGAAGTGCCATCTGCGAATTACACAAGGAGCTTTGGCTGAAGAATGCAAATCCAAAATCCACTGATTCTGCTGTTCCATGTGATCTTGATGTCTGGTTACCTTTTAATCTATGATGCCAGAACTTCTTTGATGTGCACCGTATCCATAGCTCCTTGGACACTCTCTGAGAAGCTGGCAACATGAAGCGTTCCTTGGTGCAGTGAGAAAGCACAAAGCCAGGTGGCGGAGTGAGCCAACAAGCCTTGCCTGATCCAACCCCCCAGCATACTTCATCGGGTCATACCACAGCAGGATATTCTTAACGTACTTCGTACATCCCTCGAAAATATCCATGTCACAGCACTTCATCGGACACCCTGCAGGCTCATTCTCAAAGTGCAGGCTGCTCCGAATGGCAACATTGACGAAATCTAGGAAAGGTCCCCATTTTGACGTAGGTCTGGGTGTAGAAACTCTCATCGATAGCCTGGTACCCAATCTCCACAAAGGTACAGCCCAGGCATGCAAGTCGAGTAGCCAAAAACAGGCCGAAGACTGACAGAATGTAGGTGACTCCGACAAAATGCCTGGCCGCAGCAGGGTGCAAGTGGAAAGTTCAGTCCCGACTTTCAGTGAAATGGAGTATATAGTTCCAAATAACAAGCTGATGCAGCATCAGGATGTAAACGTTTACATGGGTCACGGAGCACCGGACTGACCAAACTGGTTGACCAGCTGAAGGGTAACAAGCGAAACATACTCATATTGAGGTCGCCACATCTTTGCAAGGTTGCCCAACAACTGCACAAGGGGGCAGGGGGCATCTGAGAAAAACAAAAAAACAGAAAGACACAATACGATGGGAGGAATGGGTCAAGCCATGACTTGATTGTTGCAAAATGGGACAACTGCGACTCACCCATTTGGCTGTTGCCAGACCAGTGGCCAACAACGGCATCGTTAGCAGCAACTGTTCAAGCTTCGGGAGGCCAGACTCCTGAAGTGAAGGGGTGATGCTTCCCATTTGGGTATGCGAAAAACTCTTCCTGGGTTCAGTTCCTGACTCGTTTTAACTGCTGTCACCTGGCGGCAAATAAGCCCTGGATTCCCGGCCTCACCCACCCTGCCATGCCCAACAAGTTCACCTGCCATCGAGCGAGTAAAATTGGAAGAGTACGAGCGGCAGGAAAATAGATCACAATACCGGTGGGATGAAGGGCTGGGCCGCATTGCCATGGAATAACAACTTGAGATGATGAGCTGATGATCTGTTGCTTGGACACGAAGCAAGCACGAATTGCGTGGACTGCTCAAAACAATTCGGCCGTGCTCGAAGGGGGAGCACCTGCGATAGAACCTCTTACCCTCGAAGAATTGCGCCTACTGTTCTCAAGTAGTCGTGCAAAATCGGCTCTGTGCAGGTTACTAGTAAGTCAACTGTCATGCTGCAGGGAAGTGCACACAATACAGTCGAATATGCCCTCCCTCATAGCGCAAACGTTGAGTGTATGATGGCAAAGTAGCCATGTGTTTTCAAATGGCAAATAGGCTGGCGAGCTCACAATGAGCCCAAATCCGGCTGGTGCACTTGGCATTGGGAAAGCTTCTCAATTGTTGGTTGACGTGTTGTTCAGCATCACTTGCAGTTGCTAGCGATTGACAAAAGGATTCCTTAAAGTAGAAGCTTGTTTGATCAATGCTCTTAAAGAGGGTCATGAACTTGGGAATGTGCCTGGCACGTTGTATGATATGTTCTCCAAGCAGGTGACCAGCTACAGGATAAGTGCTTGGCCACCTTTTCCATGGATAGGAGTTGAAATCGTTTGCATGTCGTCTATCACATCCCAACTCATCAAGGAGCAGCTAGGACCTGTTTCGTTCTCACAGCCCCTGACAGATTCTGAAGCGTGACTTGATCAAAGAAGCTTGCACTGCCACATGCTGGAAGCGTGGCAGCGGAACTGCAAAGACCATGATCACCCCTGGAACGACCAGCTCCGCAATGTTCAGCCTGAGCCCCCCACATTGCGTGTGTCTTGTGGAACAAACAGAGGTGACTCACGCTCATTGCCCATTGCCCTCACGACTTTCACAATCCTTCCCGGTAGCAGCCCGCCAAACCTCCATCCCTACTGCACCCCATACCTCGGGAGGCGTTTATCGAGCAATCCAAGCGCAAGGCATCAAGTGCAGCATCGGGGCATCGCGCGGATCCTGTGCACCATCTCAATCTGCCAATTTTGTTCCTTTGATTCAAAGCACATGGGACGGAGTTCCAGGTGATGCAACATCACGCATCAAAAGAGGCACAAGCCGCACAAGCCGCGCGCCTTCAGAAGCGGCTGCAGCTTATCGGACAAGATTGGTGTGCGAAAAAGGTACCTCCGGAGTTGGGCTGTCAATCTCAAAAAAACCACCTGTATCTCATGCTGAATTCGGAATGGACACGCACGAAAAAACAAAAAACATATGCGATCCAGGGAGGAGTCGAACCTCCATAATTTGTGCTTGTCTGCAGCAATGCAGCAAAGACAACGCCTCACCCATTGGGCAACTGGATCTCTGTTGAGGTTTGGGCTTCTTGTTTTATCGTCTCATCATCATCTTCATCTTTGTCGTCATCATCATCATCATCATCATCATCATCGTCATCATCATCATCATCGTCATCATCTCGCCATCGCCATCGCCATCACCGTCAGCACCATCGTCACGTCGTCGTCATCGTCATCCTCATCGTCATCGTCATCGTCATCCTCATCGTCATCATCATCATCATCATCATCGTCATCGTCATCATCATCATCATCATCATCATCATCATCATCATCATCATCATCATCATCATCATCATCTTCATCTTCACAGCATGCTCACAGCATGCTTCGTGCCGCTTTGAAACGAGGTAAACTGGTAAACTGGGCACTCATTCCGGCTGCCGTCCAGGTCGGTGCGCTCCGCCGGCTTTAACTGGCGCGAGCAATGCCACGAGGCGAACCCGGTGTCTTGAACTTTGCCTAATTTCCCTGGGATGCATGCTTCTTGGCTTTATGTCGCCAGAATTGGGTTATGCTCGAATGGGGGTGTTACCCAGTTAAAATCACATTTGACAATTTGAGTAGCGCTCACAACTGTCTGAGAGCTGCGCAGCAGGAAACAATCCCGCAACCAGAAACCACAAGGCTTCATAGATCTTCATGTTAAGAAGCCATCAACTAATCAAAATTAGAAGCGATTTACGCAACGAAAAGGAGACGTGCAATGTGTTTGCAGGATAGAGGTGTGCGCTTTGCTTCAAACATAGATCTTATTCCTGTCGTGCGCCACAAGCATCTTTCCTACAGGGGAACAATGGTCTTTTTGGGAGGCCGGAGTGCAACGCCTCCAAATGGCTTTCATGCATCATCAAAAGCAACTGGGACATTTGGAGTAGTCCCCACGCTCGAGTCGCCGGAGTTCCTTGAGCCTGGCCTTCGACAGTACCTGCACGCTGCCCTGGCGTCGGGTCAGGTTTCGTATGTCCCAACCTCTGGACCTCTGGGCATGCGACATCTCATTCTGGACCTAGAGCACTCCGGACCCAACGTCAAAGCTTTGGACCCTGCAGGGCGCGACCTTCGCACGAGTTGATCGATTGTGCACTTCAATGTAGAAACACCACGGCGGCTCCAACATTGTTCCTCGCCTTTTGTCAACAAACACACGGCTCCCTCTCTGCCCACAGAGTCCAGCCTCAGTCTTGCACATTAATTGATGCTGCTGAGCAGCGGCCTCGCGCAGGAGAGAACCCCGGGTGCAAACAGCAAGCGAATGATCGCCCTAGTGCAGGTTCGAGCACCCAAGCCTAAACTTGTCTCCGCGTCAAAGACTTTTCTTGAGCCACCAGCGTGACGGTTTTCGCCTTGTCCAAGCCGGCGAGACAGCGTGGAAAGAACCTGTCCAAAAAAAAATGGCTTGCCTGGCTCATGGGCATCCGCCAAACCCTTCAGTCAATCACGGCTGGTGATCACAAATGCTGAAAACAACCAAAGAAAATGATTAAACAAATAAGCTCAGGTGATATCCCCAACAGCAGGCATCGCCAGAATTCGGAACCGCCCCACGCACGTCCCCAGAACTCTTCTCGGAACCACGCCGTGCTTTTCCGGAACCCTTCTTGGAACCGCCCCGTGCTTCCCCGGAAACCTCCTCGGAACCTATCTGGGCAAAGACCCCAAAGCTTTCAACTGTTGGGGAACTGCGGGACGACCTGCCGTCTACAACAATTCAGACATGTGCCCCTGAGTGAGTGTCAATCATGATGCACCCAAAAGCATCAAGCTCTCGCGCAGCATTGTCTTCGATACGCCGCAAGGAATCTATCGGTCTCAAGCGTGCCGCAGATTCCATCTGGAATCCTTCTGGGCTTCTGGTTGGTGCCTCAACCGTGGAGCTAGCTGAACCAGTTCTACTGTCCGCCTGTAAGGGTAGTCCAAGTCATTCTGAAAGAGCTGGTGACATATATTCAGGAGGAAGATAAAGGTCAACAAGCAGTCAGCGTAATTTTCGCCCAGCAGAAGCAACAGCTTCTGCCATGCGATTTGGCACCAGCCATTGTTGCTTGAAGCCGAAGACCACTGATTCCGGTGATCCCCAGTGCTGGGAGATGCTTTCTCTCCTCTTTTGGCCTGATACGCCTGAACAGTTCCGTGGGCCAGGCAGTTCATGGACTGCGCACTTTGACGCGCTCCAAGGATCAAAGAGCATCCGATGCAAACCTCCATCGAAACACAACAAAACCACACGCTTCTGGCCCACGGGTCTCAAACTGTTCGGCCCCCTGCCCAAAAAAACGGGTGGGGCGAGGGGAATCCGTCTGCCGGGTGATGGCTTTGACCCAGCCGTGAGACTCAGGCACGGCCCGCTGAAAGGCATAGGCACGCTGGTTTGACTTCCGGCTTCCGGAACTGTAACCAAAAGCCACATCTCTGACCGAGTCGAACTGTGTGGCCGAGTCCATGATTGGCCAAGGGCGATGGTCGCGGGGCGTTGACAGAAGTGATGCTGTTCAACCATTTATTCCAAGAATTGGAGCAGCCTCTGAGGTCGTTGTGACCTAACTGAATTCCTGCCTGCGGTATCGCAAGCCTAGAGGGAGCCAAAGCTGAGCGCGGTCGCTTCGCCACCTGGACGAAGCAGGGCTCGCAGGCAGCAAAGCGACCAGGTGCCTTCTGCATGAAAGCAACAGATCAAAACACCGGGTATGATGGGCTTGATGGGCTATGTCCTGGAAACAACCCTCAACGTGCCTGCGCTCGTGAGATCAGGCAACAGCCATCTCGGCTCCTGACAGATTTCTACCCATCCCAGGATGAGTGCACAATATTTCGACTGATTGTGAGGAAGTGCTCCTATGGTGTGTCAATAAAGTTGCTGATGTTGAGCATCGAAGGGGGTGTGACAGAAACAGCCAAATGCAACCAGTGGCCGTATGTGCTGCAGTGCCCGCACAAGGCAAATTGTTCAAAGTCGTTGATGTTCATCTCATAGGCCCCCCGGAGAGCTTTTGGATTGGTCCTTCTGAACCCCTGCCAAGTTCCACCCGAGGTTGGAAAAACCTCGTTCTTTTAGCCCAACGGATGACTCCTTCGTCGCCCGCTGGGGGTGCAAGCCTGAACAGGCCGGACACAGGTCCGCCAATCGAATCCAGAGCGCCGAAGTTGAGAAGTCACCGTGGCATGGGGTCCTCATGGAAAGGCCACAAACAGCAATCTGACTTTTGGTGACCCCATCTAAGTCGCTGAATAAAATGTGGCCCCAGTTGGCGAGCCAACTCGACTCGCATCCAACGAGCCGTGCAATGCGCCCACAAGGCCCCAGCCACGGCGTCCGGCCAGAGCGGGGGTCCGTGGGCTCCTGAATGGCGAACGAACGTGGCGTGGCGCTGAAGCCACGCCATGCGTTTGTGTGTCATAAAACTCGAAACTGCGAAATCCACAAAGATCAGGCACTTAGACACGCTAAAGGGCGGAAATGGACACCAGGCAACCAGAAACAGAGTACATGGGGACTCTTTTGCTCTTACGTTCTCAAAGTAAAGGTCCATCTCATGTCCATCCACTGACAGTGACAAGTCAGGGTTTGCTGGTGGACGTACTCTTCAGGTACATGATTTCCCGCTGAGATAAAATTGGCAAAGCAAATCGCCGAGCAAACATGTCGTGATGCAATTTTAACTCGCCTAGAAGAATGCTGGTTGGCAGTTCCAACCAGCCCTCACCAACAATTGTCGACCAAGCATGTGAAGACCTTAAAGAGCCAGCGGAACACCAAGCTGTTGAAACCCACACGTTTTGACGCAGCCATCTGCTTTCAACTCCTGGCTCGAACCTTGCCCTCAGCAGCAGGGCCCCCCTCTGCTAGGCTTGCCATCCCAAAAAAACTCGGAGACGCGGCGAAACCCCAGCAAATCCGCTCCTCGCCGAGCAGCGACCAATATCTTTGTTGTCGGCAGCTCTTGTATGCGAAAGCACCTGAGGTGCGGTTCGACTCCGCGAAATCTGTTGCCTTCCCGGGGTGAGTCGTTGGCCGCCCTGCGCGCCTGCGCGCTGAACCCTGGGGCCGGGGCTAACCACCAGGGCAAGCCCGGCCGGCACGATGGCCATGGCCACGGAACCGGGGCGTGCCAGCCTGGCATCCATACGACCTTTCAGATCCCGGCCATCTCTCTAAACTCAGTGTGAGGTTTCAGGTTTCTATTTAAGGGCCATGATCAAGTTGTGGTTTCAGAAGGTGAGGACCTTGATCGTGGCACAGTGCGGAAAAATTGAGGCGCTATCGAGGATGCGGCATAAACTGCAGCACGTTGGGCCTTGCATGTGCTTATCAAGCACCTTAACATGATGGTCAAAATTGTGGCGCCCCCTCGTGACATGGCCTTGGAGAAAGGCCGAAGGAGTCTTGTCATGAATATGCAGCCAATGAAGCAGTTGTTAAAAACTGAGGATTGCGACGCTTCCTTCTATTGAAAGATTCAGCACCCTTCAGTATCTAGGACACTGACCATCCACAAGGCAAAGTACACTGCTTGAGTGTGGCCCATATGGTCATGTCGATTAAGAGAAGAGGAAGACTCTCTGCCAGGACGTCAAAACATGATGGCATCAAAGTCGTGAGAACGTTCAACTGTCCAGTTCCCAATATTTGTCAATACATGATGGTTCCGTTGGAATTGGCCACAGAAGTCACAGCTCAGACTCTAGCTTGCTTGGAGAACGCCTCCTCAGATTGACACCCCGTCCTAGGCTTCTTCGGTGGCAACTTCTTCAGGAAGCCGTCCTCCATAGCGCAATGTCTAAGCTCCCGAGACCTATTGAAACCTAGGCTCGGTCTCAGGCGCACAGCATCACCATGCTCCAAATCGTTGTTTGCACATTCCATTGCCATGAGGATCTTTCAAAGCTCCAACAAAATATATCATTAGCTGAGTAGCTTTGATCTCTCTTTGGGCTCCCGCGCAACGGCCGAGTCGGCTCCGTTGCCGAATCTCAGTTTCCCAGTCCTCCAAACCGCGGACAGGGCTTGACCAGTACGGAGACGACCAGGCTCCCTGCAAGCAAACTCAATGGTTCACGTTTAGCATTGATGCCCAAATTACAAGCGAGGGTGTTCATGTATCGCTGCAAGGAATGACGCTTGGGATGTTGTTGCACCAAGAAAAGGTGACAAACCAAAGTGTGCACATCTCTGGCCTGCAAGGCCAGAACAGGGAAATGCAGGTCACTTCGCGCTGCATTGCTTGGCAGCTTGCTTCCCTCCCGTTCGATCTCCACACTCGCAAAAAACCCAGGATTGAGCTCCAGGCTTGACGGCAATACAGCACCTCATCACCCGCTAGTCTGTGTCCGGAAGCCAGAGTGCGCCGCGAACCCAACCTCCGACCCTGCAAGGGGGGGTCCGGGCGGGGTGGCCGGCTCGGGTCTGGGTTCGGGTGGGGTGGCCAGCTCGGGTTCGGGCTCGGGTCGGGCTCTGCTTCCGGACCGGGTTTGGGTTCGGGCGGTTTTTGTTTTTTTGGCAGTGGGGGGGGGGCTTGGGGGGCTGCGTTCTGCCTGTGTCTGGGGGGGTTAGGGCTTAGCTTCCCGAACAAGCTGTCCGCTCGGTCGGGAAGGGTCGGGGGTTTTGGGTTCGGGCTCGGGTTCCGGGGTGCGCCCGGCACCGTTCTATGGTTAATATTCCCGCGCGCCAAGCGACGGGGCGGTGGACACGCCGAAAGAATGTGACAAGCGCCACCAGGCGCAACCGCAGCGTCTCCAACGCAGCAAGACTGCGAGCCAGCACCTGAGGGTCTTCCAGCGCCGTCCTCCTGCGCCTCCGGCCCAGGCGCTTTTTTGAGCCAGAACTTACACAGAGGTTATTCCTAAACCGCAAGTTGCTCAATCTCTGAGCAGCCCCTGGCAGCAATTATGCAAGATCATGACACCAGAGCCTTTGGCAATCCCGCTGGCCTATTTGACATGGTCATGGAAACCTTCTGCTTCTTTGTCTCACTTGCACTTGCACACTTGTATCTCGCAAATTGTGCCTGGGCTGCCTGTCTGCCCATCTCTGTGTCGAGCTGTCTAGTTAAGCTCTCTACTTAGTGCCCGGTTGGTTAATGGTTGGGTTATCTTTCTGTCGGGCTATCTATCTCCCAGTCGCTCGAACGCAAACGAAGCATGTCTGGAACAGAAACTTGACCTTCAGGAAAAACTGCGCAACACTAGTAGGCAAACTGCTGCTTGCTTGCCAGCTTTGAGCCAGCCAAGCCACGGAAGGTTCATTTTTGGCAGGACTGCAGTCTTCCCAATGTTCAGGATCCACCTCAATTTGTTTGAAGATCTTCCTCCGAGGGTGCAGAAAACAGA